GGGGCGCTGGTGCAGGACTGGGGCTGGGTGAGGCCATGGCCGGCAGGCACCTGGGGTGGGGACAGAGGGACACGTCTTGTGACAGCAAGCCGTGGCCTCGGAGACCAAGGGAGCTGGGTCCCCTCCTCCGGAACAGGACGGGGGCAGAGACGCAGGGCAGGATGGGGATGGGGGCGTCAGGAGCAGGACAGGGACAAAGACACTGCAGGATGGGGAGAGGGGCAGGGTGGGGACAGGGACACCAAGAGCAGGGTGGGGATGGGGACGTCAGGAGCAGGACAGGGACAAAGACACTGCAAGCAGGATGGGGACAGGGACACGGAGAGCAGGACAGGGATGCGGCACTGGGAGCAGGGCTGTGGACAGGGACACCAGGAGCAGGATTGGGGCACTGGGAGCAGGAAGAGTACAGGGACACTGGGACCGGAGTGGGGATGGGGACACGGGGAGCAGGACAAGTACATGGGCACTGGGAGCAGAATGGGGACAGGGACACCAGGAGCAGGGTGGAGATGGGGACATTGGGAGCAGGATGGGGACATCAGGAGCAGGACAGGGATGTGGACACCAGGAGCAGGGCTGCAGCCAGGGTCACCAGCAGCAGGACGGGGACAGGGACACTGGGAGCAGGGCTGGGGCTCACCCCACTGGGAGCTCATTGCTCAAGACGGTGCATCCCCCCGGGGACCGGTGAAGTCAGTGGAGTTGGGGGACAAACGGGGACGACTGAGGGGTTGGCACAGCGTCACTCATTGCTGATGACCCCGCTGCGGATGGGGGTATTTGCCCCCTTGGTGGGTCCTGGTGCTGAGCCCCGATGAACTCGTGCCAAGGATGGAGCCCCCCAGCACCCGCTGCCCTAGCGAGCAGTTCCCTCTGCCAGCGTGCCTCAGCTTACCTTCGCCGCCGCCCCAGGCAGGCGCATCCCCCGGGACACCCTGCACCCAGCGGAGCTCCTTTGCCGGCAGGGGGGAAATTCCAGCCACTCGGAAGGGGCCAGGGGTCAGGGTCCGGCCACGCACACCCCCCATTCCCAGGGAAGAGCCGTTTCCGCGGAAAATTCCCAGCCTGTGCACGCGGGGCCAGATTTTCGGCTGCAAGAGCTTGTGCGGCCACTCGGGCCCCGCTGCGGGTCAGCGTTTTCCAGCTGCTGGGAACAGCCTGCGTGAGAACCGGCTCCTTCCCACGCCTGCCCGGGCTGTATCCTGCCACCCCTCCTGGGGTGAAAGCTGGGGTGATGCTCAGATCCGTAGGGACCCATCGGGCATCGCAGCCCCGTGGTTCTGCTCTCCAGAGGGCAGGGGCGACCGGCGCCGATGCCCGTGGGTGTACAGGTGCCCCCACAGGACCCTCCAGCCTCGTTATCTGGCCCTGGAGAGCTCAGGGTTGGGATCAGAGCCACCCTGGGACAACGACAGATGTCCCCTTCCTGGGACAAAACCCCTCGCCGCAATGGGATGGAGTGGCCGAGCGCTTGACTCCGGAGCCGGGGTTGCATCCCCAGAGCCTGGGGATGTGCTGTGCAGCACCGAGCATGCTGCCGGCCCCACGGGCACTGATCCTGCTGCAGCCCCAGCGTGAGCAATTCAGGGTTTGCACAGCTCCAGGAGACACCTGGCCTGGTCCCCAGGGGCCCAGTTTGGTGCTGGGCTGTACTGGGAGGTGAAAAGCACCCCCGGTGAGGCCGCGGGCAGGTTGGCCGGGCTGTAAGGCTGGTCTTGCCTGCACCAGGCAGCGCTTGAACCCCGCTTCGCCCCAGGGCAGAGGGGGAATGCACCGTTGGTGAGGCCACGGTGCCGGGGCGGATGCGGGAGGCAATGGGGAACGTCCCGGCACTGCCCGGCAGGAAAGGCTGAGCCCAGAGATATGGCTGGAGCCCCCGGCCCCCTCCCGCTGGGCGGATGGGATGGGGCAGCATGCGCGGGCAATGCTGCCGTCGGCCGGCAGTGGCAGGAAATCCTTCCCCCTCCCCAGTTTCCAAGCCACCCTGGCGAGCGCTGGCCCTGAATTATCCCCCGCGACATCCAGTTTCCAGAGATCCGGCATGCCGCGGGATGGCTGGACGCTCTTTCCTGGGGCTGCTTCCTATCCCCCATGCCTACATCAGCCCAGTGCCTCCCAGTTTCCACCAGCAGCTGGGAGAAGGTTTGGGGGGGTGGGGAGGGCCTTGGCTTCACCTTCTGCTCCCAGGGTGCTGCGTGCCCCGCCAAGCCATCTCGAGCCCCTCTGAGCACGGGGATGCTCTGGGGCAGGTTCCCAGAGGCGAAACTGGGGCTGGACCAGGCTGCCATGGCCAAATTCAGCACAGCAGCATCAGGGCGATCCCAGGCAAGGCTCAATCTGGGGGGTCAGCCGCGCCAGCAGAGCAGGGCCAGGGGAGAGGGAGGGTGTAAACGCCTCTACGAGCTGTAACCCAGCCCTACTTTCACAGCACGCGCTCGGGAGCGGACCCAGAGCTGAATCCAGACGCAGAGCGAGGAGCTGGGGCAGGGGAGAGGAGAGGGAGCAATATAAACCTTTCAGAGCATGAGCAGCTGATGAGACCCCCTGAAAACACAGCAGGAGCCCAAGAGCTAGCGAGAAAGGAAGAAAATCTTAGTGCAGCACAGGATTGTCCTGGGCTGGCTGGTCAGTTGGCTACTGCAGGCAGGACCAGGATGGCTGGGGGACACGGAGCCCCTGGGGGTGGGACAGTGCTGAGGATGGGGGGAATTGGGGCAGTGCGTGCTCCAAGCACCGGTGAAGGCAGAG